GCTTGTACATAGTGGATATCTTTCGACATTTTCCCTTCACATTGAAAGTCTTTTCTTTAAAACGTAAGTTATATCTTGAAGTGTATTCTTGAGATATTTCGGAGTTTACTGACGCAACGTCATGAGCTTTTCATAATTTTTCTAAAAAGATCTTAGAGATAATTTGCAATTCAACGGGAAGCTGTGACTGGAATGGTACGTTCACCTCTCCAGATCTCTTGGATAAAGGTTCTAGTGGTATTCTTCCATGCACCATCTGGAAGGGAGACAAACCAGTGGTGCTATGTGGCACTTCTCTGTAGGAAAACAGGAGATAGGGAAGATACAAATCCCAACTTCTCCCATGTTCTTGGACATTTTTGTTCATCATTTGTTCATTTTGTTTGTTAAGGTTCTATTCTAACGTTCGACAGCACCCATACTCTCTGAATGTCCTGGGGTGGAGAATCGTGGAGGTACACCAAGGAAGTCCTCAAAAGCTCGGTTTGGATGTGTAACTAGTTCCCTGATCTGAACAAATCATCTTTGGAAATCTAGTCTGAGAAAAAATTCTCATCAAATGTTGCATGTTCGGGTGGGGGTTTCACTTATCTCTTTGACGGGAGTGGATTCTGCCCATTTGGTGCATAGGTCATCTGCACATATCACAAACCGATGACCTCTTCCGGATGGAGGATTTAATGGTCCGATACAATTGACGCTCCATACTTCAAATGGTGTTTCCGGTCTAACGATAGGTTGAATTGGGATTTTATCTTTATATGTAAATTGTCCTTCTCAATTGGCATTCTGTGCAACTTCCGCAAAAATTTTTAGTAGGCCAAAAGAATGAGTACTTGATTCATCGAATTGTCTTTTTCTCACCGAGATGTCCAGCAAGAGGGATTTCATGTGCCATTTTTAGAACTTTCTTTCTTTTTCCTAAATTCAGAATGCCTTGCTTAATACTTTCACCACAGATATATTCAGAGTGAAGTAATAGGCCATTATCAAAAGCATAAGAATTTTCATTCTTCTTCGCTCATTCAAAACACTTTTTCTTCAAGCCTCACCTTGTTCTGGTGAGGGTTTGTCATCTGATTCTTCACACTCTAAGGAAGATGCATCCCACTGACGATCACTGCGACACAGTTCAATATTTTCGCAGAGCATTTCATAAGCTGATGAACTAATGGGCACTCTACCATGAAGATCATCGTCAATTTTCAGTGGAGTAATTTCGTTCTCACCAAAAGCAGAAAATAACTGTGTTTTACTCTCTCTTTCGCAAGGTATGTCGTAGATCAGTCCCTTATGGACTATTAAAATTTGTGTTTCCGTGTCTACGACTCCATTTAGAACAATATCTCTGCATTTAACTTTGACAAGTGTCAAATCATCTGTGTTCCTAGCTACGTCAACGGATTTTGAAACGCGAATAGAGATCTTGGCAGTTAGCACTTCTGGTTTTTCCTTTTCTGCAAGGGCTGTTTGTGTCTGGATTAAATTGTTTTGCGCTGTTGCAGAAGTATTTTTTGGTATCCGATTTTTGGTGCAGAATTTAGATATATGACCTTCTTTCCCACAATCATAGTATGGAAATTAGTTTTTTGCGGCTTGTCATTCTTAACGGAAGTTTTCACTCTTGGCATTTACGGTAATGCGTGTTCTGAACGGAGTTTCGTGTTTTGAAGTGTTCGTGTTCGGAAAAGTTTTCGGAGAGTTCGAAGTTTGTCGAGAGGTTTTCGGAAACTTTGGAGTTTCGTATTTTGAAGGCCTGTTCTGAATGGAGAACGATTTGTTTTTGGAAGTTTTTTCTGGAAGTGGAGAACGAGATCGCCACTTTTCATTAGTTTTGTCTTTCGATGGACTATCACTAGTCTTTTTTAAAGTATTACACACATTGTTTCGTGAAGTTTATCCGCTAATTTGGTCGGAGAAATGAACGTCACCCAGTCATCAAGAAGATGGTCCCTTACTTCAGGAGGTACTCTTTTCATAATTTGATCCGTGATAATGAGGTCTTTTAACCCGACGCTGTCTATAATTTCAAGGCCATTGATCCATTCTTCAAAATAAGTTGCAATTTCGTTTCAGAAATCCCACCATGATTTTCCAGTAGTCTTTTACTGCATCACAAACTTTTTTCTAAAGCCTTTAAGGATTTAATTTAAATCTCTTTAATAAGGTGGCTAGCTGTTATAGTGTACTCATAATCCTCAAAATTGTTCCTCGGTTCCTTACCAATTAATTGAATGATTTCAGATGGCATTAAAGTCAACAAACATGATACCCAGTCTTTAGAATCAATCTTTGGTCTTTTAGCTTGTCTTTCAAATAAGGATAAATCACGATATCATCGTCTCTTAACTTAAGAATCAGCTTAATTAAATCGAAATTGCGTTGTCCACTTTCATTTGTCGGCGGAGTTTGTGTTAATCGAATACGAGATTAAGTTTCGAGTTCCTTCAACCCAAATTCAATTTGCTCTCTTTTCTGCTGTGCTTCTAATTCTTCTTTTCTCCGGTTTTCTAATTCTTCTTTTCTTCTGTTTCTTCTTTCCTTCGCTGTTCCTCAATCTCTTCTTTCCTTCTCTGTTCTGCCTCTTCTTTTCCTCTCTTCAACAATCCGTTAAAAGTATTTTAGGAAATGCTTCATCATCATATGTCTCAACTTGAAACATTTTATTTTTATTGCTATAATTTTCATACTTGGATCCACTTGAATTTCTAATTCAGCAGCTAACACTAACTATTCCTCTTTTTTTCACGTCCCATTAAAGCCATGGTTCGATTTTAGATAAACTTCAATCTTTAAAAATTTAAGTAAAGAAAACCTAATTTCGTATTACTTCCTTAAATTTACCTTTAACTTTAGTGAAAGAGTGAACTCTCTAATTGAGGTTTGTTATAATTAATTTCATTAAATTTTAAAACTGATAATATTTTCCTTTAAATGGATGGCCTTTAAATAGTGAATCATTTATCTGAAAAACAATTCAGGAATACAAAATACGATATCTCAAATGAATCAAAATAAAATAAACAACCACAGTTTCATAATATATATATATATTTAAACAGGTAATAGATCTCGTACCATCTTCTTATGATAAAGACATTCTCTGGAGGGGGGAACGTTTTTATGTGCGACATTATAACAGCTGGCTGACGCCAGATATTGTTTTCTGACTTTATTCAGTCGCTTGACTTAAAGACAGACAAAACAACCCTTTACTTCCTTGTAAAGTAAAAAAGAAATATTTTGATTGCCAAAAATTTCGGGTATCATTTCTCAACGAAAATATCCATTTTGATAGTTATCGAATGCAATTTAACGATGTTTTTGTGTGACATCTGTACAATGACTCTTTTCCCCCCAAAAAATATAAAACTGATTTAGAATGGATTCTGAAGACATTTTTTCGTGGCATCTGTACGTACGTACGTGTCTATGCATGTATGTATCTCGCATAACTCAAAAACCAGTAGCTGCAGAAAGTTGAAATTTTGTATATAGGACTACTGTAGCATGTAGATGGGCATCTTCTATTTTGGTTGCAATTGGCTGCACCAAAAGTATATAAGTGTATGTATTCCAGTCTGTTTATTCGGCTCAGTGAGCTCAGTTTCGTTATTCTTATAGGTTTTTAAATTGTACATTTTTTGCTTTAAAAATGATTGAATTATGTTGTCTTCCGGTTAAAGTTTTCATGCCTTTAGTCAATCAGCATATTATAGTTGTAGAATTATCAACAATTTAAAAGTGCGGTTAGGCCTAATTTTTTTTTTTTTTTTTGGTCATAGCAGCCATATTTGTTTACATTTGAAACTTAGCAGAATAGTGGATTTGTTGTCCATCTAAAGAAACTAAGCTTCGCAACAACAAAGTAACGTCTTCATCTGTTATTCGCGTATTAAATTATGCTTAATCCATTCTGGAATATCATTTAAGTTATTAAATTATCCTGTATGTTGACTCAGCATAGCGTCCACAACAAATTAAGTCAGTTTCAATGCTGTCAGTGTCTTTTTGCCGAGTGAGACCAAAAGTAAACTTTCAGTTTTGTGCACCGAAAAATCTCTCTTCTTGCCCGCTGGCCGAATTGCTTGTTTTTCAGTAGAAACTGTAATTTTAATTTTTAAAATTGCTTTTTTAAAAGAATTTTTAAACTGTATTTGGTGTTTTATCTGTGGTTAATTTGTGTGTATAACTTGTACATAGTGTAAATATTTGTTTCTTTAGTTATATTATGTTTGTTTTATTAGTTTTATTTGTATCGAATTACGCTTCTGACCAAGGACTGTACTGCCTGGGCTTGCAGTCCTTGGAAGGGGGCAGTGTTACGAAGTGCCCAGCCGCGGTAAGATAGCTTTCCCGCAGAGCAGATCAGAAAATGGCAAGGGAAGGCAGGGTTTCCACATTTGGGGCGAAATTGCTCATTTGGAGACATTTAGCGACAAAAATTGGCTATATGCCATAGACGGATGAAGAACATTCTTGAGCGAATTTTTACCCAGAATGTTCTCGAAGGCAAGCCACAAGCTATATAAACTCTGCCTGTACGCGGAGTATCGAATTTTTCGTCAGTGCATCGTTGAGACTATCTAGTGCATCGCAAGTTCTATCGTAGAAAGTCTCGAGAGTACGTTGAGTTTTGAAAACGACCGAATCGAGTCGGGAGCTATATTCTAGTGCTTTGCCTTGATGCTGTCTTCAACATTATACCCTGAAGGCTGTAAAATACTAGCGAATAAATTGTGTTTTGATTCTCTGTCAAATGTTGTCGTTAATCACTCCAAATACACGAACCCGTAGAAGCGCAACAATCAATACATATATGTGCGTGTGCTTGAGCAACACCTCCTTATAGAAGGAAGCCGGGACACTGAAGCGAGGGGAAGCTCTGACGTCACAGGTAGTCGTCTCTGACTCACCTCGCTCCTTCAAACAAAATCAAAGCCCCGTAGTTGAGCCAAGAGCGACGAATGTGGAGCGGTTATTTGCGTTAGCGACAGAGTTTTTATATTGTCTCATGCTTTTTTTATATATTGTCTCGTGCTTTTATAATTTCATACGATGCCTCATAAATGTGCTGTAGCCACATGTCGTGGTAATTATAAAAACGGACCAAAAGTGGCTGTATTCAAGTTTCCAAATGAGACTGAACTCCGGATGAAATGGATAAGGAGTCTACGAAGAAAAGATGGCTTTCAACCTACTAAACATACCAGAGTAAGTTCAATTTTACTGCATTTTTTTATGTTTTGTATCTTTACATTTTTTTATTACTTTTATTGATAGGTATGTGATGTTTATGCTTACGATATTAGATTTTGATCTGTGGGTAAGAAGTTTTATGTTTGAAAGATTTTAATCTTGCCTGTTTTAATCATTTCAAAAAAAATATTTTCCTTCAAAGTTTTATGAATGAAATAAAGTTCCATATAACAGGAATAATTCTAAATTTAGTAGTTACATAAATGCCAATAATTTGTAAATGCTTTCTAGTATACTGTGCAGGCAGATTCTGTAGTTATTCCAAATTTATCATAATTTATATGACAAGGAACTACTAAGTAATCATAATAGGTTTCATTTTAAAATTTTTGTAATGATATATGAAAGTTTGGTATGATGTATTTAAGGTAATTATTTGTATTTGGTAACCAGTGTTTGTTGTAAACAATTATCTCAAATATATAATTTTCTTTAAATGTAAATAAAGCTGTAATCATTATGATGAGCATTCCAGATTTTACAAATTACTTAAATTATACACGTAATTGAAATGATATTACTGGTTTTTTAATTCGTATTTATGTATCAAATTATTTATTTAAATCATAGGGCTTATTGACTTCTGTTACTAAATATTAACATGCATCTAACTTTTGTACTCACAACAAGTTGATTTTTGAATATTTTCTTTTATAGGTATGTGAATTACATTTTCGATCAGATGAAATAATACGAGAAATCGAAATGTATGATGAGAAATCAGCGAAGTTAATTAAAGCCCCAATTTCTAGGCCACGTTTGAAAAAAGGATGCATACCTTCTCAGTTCCCTGATGGCCCATCCTACATGTCATCAAATTCTGTATCGAGAATGTCACCAGAAAAGAAGAAAGCTCGTTTAGAAGAGAAATACCTGGAGAAAGCGATAGAAGAAAGTTTGAAAATGAAAGAACGGTACGGTATGATAATGAACGATCATTTGAAAGTTTAATTGAATTCAATAATTGCCTAGAACATCAGATTTTAGAAACATTTTGGACAACTGTACATACTGAAAATTCAACTATGTTACTTGATATTTTAAGTGACCCAGCTCCAGAAATTCAGAAATCGGTAGTAATAAATGAGGATTTAACAGTATGTGTTTATATTAAAAACATCGCTATAAAATCTATTGGTAAATTTGTTTTCCCTCTAAAAATTAGTAATGTAAATATGTTTCTAGAAGTACTAAAGGAAGTTGAAAGTCTGTCTCATAACTTACAAAATGAAGAATATATTAAGAATTCTATACAAATTGTGGATGATATGCTTTCAGAATTGAAAAGAGTGTTACCTGAAAAAGAAACTGAACTGAACTTCCTTTCAGAGCAAGTAAATAAACTAAATGTAAAGAAAGAGAAGTATCGATATACTCCAGATTTACTTATTTTTTGCAGTTTGTTAAACTCGATCTCACCGCATGCATACAAGTTTTTACGACATTCAGGTTACATTTCTATTCCCCATCCACGTACTATTCGTAGAATTTGTTCAATGTTTTCTCTTAATCCTATTACTGAGCAATTTAATGATGACTTTTTAGGATATGTTAAACAAAGATGCAAGGATTTAGAAGAAAATGATAAAACTGTAATTATTATGATGGATGAAGTGCATTTAAATTCATGTTTCGATTTTAAAGGAGGAAATTTGTGTGGCATGGCCTACAACTGTGAAAAAGCTGCTACAAGTGCTTATGTTTTTATGATACGTAGCTTATTATCACCTTTCAAGGATGTGGCACATATATTACCAGTTAAATCATTAAATGCTGAGGATCTGTATCAATATCTTAAGAAAATTATAATTGGTTTAGAAAATATAGGTTATAGAATTGTGGCAGTTGTCTCTGACAATAATTCAATAAATAAAAAAGCCATGTCATTATTTTGTATGCCTCCAAAAATTAGTATTGTGTATAAAAACCCTGCAGACTTATCTCGGCCACTATTTTTTGTTATTGACTCAGTGCACATCTTGAAGTGTGTCAGGAACAACTGGATAAATCAAAAAACTTCTGGGCAATGTTTATTTTATCCAAATTTTGAAAATTTTTCCAAGGTCGAAACAGCGGCATTTGCATGCATAAAAAGTCTCCATTCATTAGAGGCAGGCAGAATTGTAAAATATAGTTATGGTTTGACTCTGAAAGCTCTGTATCCAACCAATTTGGAAAGACAAAATGTCAAGCTAGCATTACAAATATTTGACAGTCGTCTTGCAGAGGCAATAATGGTTATTGGTAAAGAAAATAGTATTTTAAATTACGAAACAACAGCTGAATTTATTAAAATTATATCTACATGGTGGTCAATAGTCAATGTCAAAAGTATCTTTAAAGGACACCATAAGATGAATGAGTATCAAAAGCCGTTAACTGTGCAAAATGATGATGTTAGATATATTTATTTAAATAAGTTACTTGAGTGGTTAGATCAGTGGAAACTTTTAGGCTGTTCTAGTGGTGGACTAACTAAGGAAACACATTTTGCATTAACACATACTAGCTATTCGTTGCTCGAAATGGCAAGGTATTGCATTGAGGAGCTAAAATTTACTTACTTTTTACCAGGAAAAGTTCAGACAGATCTCCTAGAGAATAGATTCGGAAAATATAGACAGCTGGCTGGTTCACAACATAATATTTCTATAAGGCAAGTATATGAAACTGAAGCAAAATTAAGATTACAAAGTCTTCTGCCAACTGTTATTAAATCATCAAAGTATGGAGGAATTCCTATTTATCTAAATTGTAAAAACCTGTGTATTGAATCTCTGGAGCAAGAAAATATTGGATGCACTTTCTCAGGAAGAATAACTATTACAAATGAAGATATACAAAATGTTCAAAATGACATACCAATTTTAATGTATATAGCTGGTTACTGTAGTTATAAAGTTGTGAAACTATTAAGCTGTGATATTTGTAAAGGCAATCTAACTATTGATAAAGAATTAATTGTAGAAAATGAAGGACAGTCTTGGATAAAAAGATTTGATAGAGGACTTCTATATCCTCATCCTGATGTACTAAATTCAGTAATATATAATTATGTTGTTATTCAAAAACTTGTATCTGAAGAATTTGAGAATGAATTTTTATTTTCTGCAAATCAGAGGGATATAGCATGTAACTTAACTCTAGACATACTGATAGAAAATGACATTTTTTTAAATCTAGATGATTGCCCTAAAGCTCATGAGTCACAGAAAGTGTTAAAGCAGATTCTTTGGTCATCAACGAACACATTTTTAAATAATTATTGCAAATTAAAGAATGATACACTAAACCAGAAAAGCATTGCAAAAGAGCGCAAATTGAAAACTTTAAAGCATAAATAAAAATATAATGGGTGTTTAGCAATTAAACATTTAAAAAATGTAGGTTTTAATTCAAATGATGCTGTATTTCATAGACTAGTAAGTTTAGTAACTTTAATGCATGTAACAAGACACAAAAAATTAATTGAGCAAAGCCTAGTGATGTTAGTTCAGATTTATTTCTGTTGAAAAAATATTTTCGCATCTAACAGTTACTGTTACACATTATTGTGAATTCCTTATTATTTTTTTTCTACTCATGTATGCTGTCTGTTTAACCTTGAGATCACTTGAAAAGTAATAGTAACGAAAAATTCATTTCTATGCATCTATGTAAATAAGTGTCTGGGTTGTATTTTAAGTGGTCCTTATTATTAATGTGGATATCAAATTAGTGTTAACATATGGTAAGATTCTTTATCATTATAATTGACTTGAAATATTGAAAAATTCATTTCCTTGCCCTTAATTTGTTGTGTAAAAAAGTGTCTGCGTTATGTTTTTATGTGGCCACTACTTTTATCATTTGGGTATAATTTTGGTGTTAACATGATAAAATACTTTATCAAAGTAACAGTTATATGTTTCAAAATGCTTACAAAATGTTATGTATATAATAACTGCCACTGTTATACTGGTAATGGGTCATTATACTTTTGTTGATATGGACAGATATTGACTGTTTTACATTCAGATGACTTGAAATATTGAAGAAGGCATGTCCTTTTTTTAATTTCTCATCGCGTAAAAAAGTGTCTCGGTTTGTGTTTTAGTGCGGCCACTACTTTTATCATTTGGATATAAGTTTGGTGTTAACATATGGTAAAATGCTTTCTCCTGATAAAAGTGATATGTTTCAGCATGGGTACAAAATGATATGTATATAATAACTGCCACTGTTATACTGGTAATGGGTCATTATACTTTTGTTGATATGGACAGATACTGACTGTTTAACATTCAGATGACTTGAAATATTGAAGAAGGCATTTCCTTGCCTTTAAATTGTCATTGCGTAAAAAGGTGTCTCGGTTTGTGTTTTAGCGCAGCCACTACTTTTATCATTTGGGTATAAGTTTGGTGTTGACATATGGTAAAATGCTTTCTCCTGATAAAAGTTATGTTTCAGCATGCTTACCGAATGATATGTATATAATAACTGCCACTGTTATACTGGTAATGGGTCATTATAATTTTGTTGATATGAACATATACTGACTGTTTTATATTTAGATGACTTGAAATATTGAAGAAGGCATGTCCTTTTTTTAATTTGTCATCGCGTAAAAAAGTATCTCGGTTTGTGTTTTAGTGCGGCCACTACTTTTATCATTTGGGTATAAGTTTGGTGTTGACATATGGTAAAATGCTTTCTCCTGATAAAAGTGATGTTTCAGCATGCTTACCGAATGATATGTATATAATAACTGCCACTGTTATACTGGTAATGGGTCATTATAATTTTGTTGATATGAACATATACTGACTGTTTTATATTTAGATGACTTGAAATATTGAAGAAGGCATGTCCTTTTTACTTCCTTGTACGAAGTAAAAAGGAAGTATTGTAATCGCGAAAAGTTTCAGGCAGCATATTTCACCGAAAATATCCATTTTGACCGCTATCGAATGCAATTTAACGATGTTTTTGCACCATATCTGTACGTAAGGACAGAATAAAATACTCTTTTCCTTCAAAAAAATTATAAAACTGCTTAAAAAAAACTTAAACTAAAATTAATTCTGAAGAGAATTTTTCGTGGCTTCTGTACGAACGTATGTACGTACGTTCGTGCGTACGTACATATCTCACATAACTCAAAAACGAGTAGCCTCAGAACGTTGAAATTTTGTATATAGGACTGCTATAACATGTATATGTGCACCTCGTATTTTGGTTGCAATCGGCCACACCAAACGTATATAAATATATTTATATATATATCCACTCTATGACTTGAAATATTGAAGAAGGAATTTCCTTGCCTTTAATTTGTCATCGCATAAAAATGTGTCTGGGTTATGTTTTAAGTGGCCACTACTCTTATCATTTTGATATAATTTTTGTGTTAACATATGGTAAAATGTTTTATCGAGGTAACAGTTATATGTTTCCAGCATGATTAGAAAATTGTATGTTTATAATAGCTGCTGCTATTATACTGGGAATGGGTCATTATAATTTTGTTCATATGGACATGCACTGACTGTTTTATATTCAGAGCACTTGAAAGATGATAATATTGAAAAATTCATTTTCGTGCTGTTGAGTGTTTGCTGCATAAAATGGTATCTGGGTTGTATTTAAATGGCTACCACTTAATGTTTAGTAAGTGGTTATCATTTGGTGTTAACATACTGTAAAATGCTTTCTCATGATAAAAGTTGTGTTTCAGCATGCTTACAAGATGACAAGTTTATGGTAACTGCTGCTTTTATACTGAGAATGGGTCATTATAATTTATATTTTTTATATGGGCATGTACTGACTGTTTTACACTTAAAAATATTGAAAAATTCATTTCCTTGTCTTTAATTTGTTGTTGTGTAAAAAAGGGTCTATGTTGTGTCTTTAAGTGGCCATTACTTATATCATTTGAGTATAATTTTCATGTTACCATATGATAAATTACTTTATCAAGATAACAGTTATGTGTTTCAGCATGGCGACAAAATAACAGGTTTGTAATAACTCCTACTATTATTCTGGGAATTGGCTGAATAAAGGGTGTCTCTGA